GCACTCAATGCACATCTTCCCTTAGCTGATTTCTGTCTGCTTCCTTTAGCTATAACAAACCTAACCACGCTGTGGCAGCTTTGGGCTGTTCTGTGAGTTCTGTGGTCCTTACAAAGAACTGTTGACACAAGGGTGGTCTTGAGAATCCAGAAATGGAAATGGGTATCATAAATGAGAGGGTCTTGTCCAGTTTTGCAGACACAAAGAGCTTCTCTCTAATGAATGACATGACCCTTCCGGGAAAAAATTAAGGCCAAAGGAGGAATTTTGCAGCCAAGATTAAAGCTTGCCCTCCTGTGGACCTGGACGTCTCAGAGAGTCCTGCCAGTCAGGAATGGGGTCTGCTGGGAAAACAAACGCAACTCAGCAGGGTTAACCGATACACTCTGGGAGGCTGAGGCAGGAGGATCACAATTTCAAGTCTAGCTTGGGCATCTTAGCAGAGCCCTGCCTCAAAATTTAAAGAAAAAAAAATATATATATATATATTTAATGGGCCAGGGATGTAGCTCAGTGCAAAGGGCCAGCATTCAATCCCCACTACTGAAAAAAAAAAAAAAGGAAAAAAGAAACAGATTGTTACAGAAAAAGGACAGAGAGAAGGCAAAGAGGAATAAGCTTATAAAAAGTGACTGCAACTGCCTATTTAGATGTAGTAGAAGATTCAGAAGATGAAGTTAAGAAAATCTCCCAGAATGAAGACTAAAATGTTAGTGACAAGTATGTTAGAAAATTTAAGAGATACAGAAGACTGCTCCGGGAAGCCCAGTGTCTACAAAACAGAAGAAAATGGAAGGGCACAACTGATCAAAGACAAAACAAGACATGCTAAGTTGAAGGAGAACATGACCTTTATGCTAAACACGTGGGCACATGTGGATAAACACTGACGAGAAAAGCCCACACCTACACACAGCCTCATAAAATCTGAGATCATCACAGCTGAAGAGGAAATCTTGAAGAAGTTCAGAAATCAAACCCTTTTATCTTCAAACAAATAAGTCACACTGGTATCAGACTTCACATCAGTACCAACAGATCCTATATTAGCCCTGAAAATAAAAGTGACTTCAGCCTAAAATCTGGTGCCCAGCAAAACTGCCAAGCAAGTCTGAAGACAAAACTGAGCCATTTGCAGAGATGCAAAACGTAAGAAAGTACACTTCCAAATTGCTTGAGGATAAGCTAAGGCAAGCAAAAAAAAAAAAAAAAAAAAAAATCTGAGAGACAGAATTGTGTTTTGGATACGAGGGACAGGAGAAATGTCAGGGTAACTGCTGTGACACCATCCACGCAGGAATGATTAAGAAGCTGGGGGCCAGGGGTTTAGCTCATTGGTTCCACCTCCTGCCTTGCAAGCGCAAGGTCCCGAGTCCGATCCCCGGTACCAGGAAAAAAAAAGCAGCAGCAGCTGGGGTCAGAGACGTGAAGGCTGGGTGTAGTTTCTTCAACAAAAACTTGACCTTACAATCCATTTCCTTCAGTGCCCCAGGGGAAGGGAAATAAACAACAGTATGTTGTTTTCTATGGGCACAGTTTGCCTAAAATACATACACACAATCATGGCCTTTCGGCCATACAATTTGCTTATGCCCATGTGATATTGTGATTTATAATAAGAATATTATAGAGGGCTGGGGATTTAGCTCAGTGGTTCTGCCGCCTGCTTCGCAAGTGCAAGGTCCCAAGTTCGATCCCCAGTACTCCCCCGGAAAAATATTATCAATACATATGATTTTTGTCCCTGGCTTCTGGAATGGATCTCCTACAACTCCTGTAATCTGATCAATATGGGTGATGGGAGAATCTTTCATTGTAACATTTAGTCTTTAGGGCTGGGGTGTAATTCAGCAGTAGAACTTGCCTGGTATATGGAATCCCCTGGCTTTGACCCCCAGGATTGAAAATAAAAGAAAGAGAAAAGAAGTCGAGTGTGGTGGCACACATCTGTAATTCCAACTACTTGGGAGGCTGAGGCAGGAGGATACCAAGTTCGAGGCCAAGCTGAGCAATACAGTGAGACCCTATCTTAAAATTTTAAAAATTTATGAAGGGCTGGGGATACAGCTCAGTGGTAGAGCACTTGCCTAACACGCATGAGGCCCTGGGTTCCATCCACAGTCACACACACCTGAAAAGTAAGAGTTGGTCTCTAACCTCTGTCAGTTGGTCTCGACAGAGCTCCTAATCCTGGTCCTTTGGAATTTCCTGGGAGATGGTAGCCTCTTTTGCTCTAATGAGATGATTCTCGGTGAATTCCTGGATGGTGGATTCTGGATGTCACCAGAAAGACCAAGCCCTGGTTAGAAGCTGGAACTTTCAGTCCCACCTCCCTTCTGCTGGAAGGGGGGCAGCAGGCCAAGCCTGCAGGACGAAGCCACCACGCAAATCCCTGAATGGCACAGGGTTCAGGGAGCTTCCGGGTTAGACCCAGTGCGGGGTTAGGGGTGCACCCACTAGCGCAGGAACAAAAGATCCTGCGCCCCACACCCTCCAGACCTTGTCCTGTGTCTTTTTCACAAGAATAACAGTGCTCCCCGAGGTGTGTAGGCCACACATGCAAATGACTGGACCTGGTAAAGAGTCCCGGGGAGCTGATTAGTCAGAAGGTCAGAGTCTTAAATCAAATTTTCAGTTTGGACCGAGTTCTTGCGCTCTAGGCCCAACAGAACCAACCCAAAATGCAATCACTCGTGCTGAAGTTCCACACCACCAAGACCAAACTCAGTCATTCATTGAATTTTCAAGGAAAGAGAGAGAGATTATAGTCAAATCGCTGAACAAGACAGTTTCAGCCGGCAAAGTCAGACTTTTCAGATAGCAAAGTCGCCTCTGCTTTAACCTTTTCAAGCCAAGTACCTTTGGAATGATCAACCAGCTTCTTGTTCCATTTCTTCACTGGCTCATCAGAACAGTCAGTTCTAGTTTACAGAATGAGGGGCTATCGATTGCAGAATCACCTGGATGCAGTGCTGCACACCTGCAATCCCAGCACTCTGGGAGGCTGAGGCAGGAGGACGTTGGAGCCCAGCTTGGGCAACTTAGTGACTTAGTGAAAGCCCTGTCTCAAAATAAGAGATACAGGGGGTGGGGACGTGGCTGTAGTTCAGTGTAAAGGCCCTGGGTTCAAACTCCAGTCCTTCCCCCAAAGCCAAACCCTAACAGTATCCGTGCTGAATTAAACATTGACATTTTCGATGAAAATAGCATTGGGATTCCTGATTTGTCCTGGGGCTCCATTCTGGCCCAGCTCTACACGGACTGGGAATCCAGGTGTTCTCTCAGCCTGGGAAGGGCAGTTCTCAGGACAAACAAACCATCTTCTTGGAGACCACCCCTAGCTCCTCTCATTTCCACTGTTTTGCCTCTGACTGCACTTTTATAATTCAAGTCTCTGCTGAGGGAGAAATTTCCATCGCTACTTTGGAAAAGTCACCCTCTCTTCCTTCTCCTCTCTCTCTCTCTTTCTCTCTCTTTTTGTGATACTGGGGATTGAACCTAGGGCCTTCATTTTTTATTTTCAGATGGGGTCTCCCTAAGTCATTAAGTTGCCCAAGATGGGCTCAAACTTGTGAGCCTCCTGACTCAGCTTCCCAGGTACTGGAGTTACAGGCATGGGCCACTACACCCAGCACTATTTTGCATTTAATGTGAGTGCTAAACAACATCAAAGGTTAGGAATGGTAACTATGAGCTCCTGGTTCTTTTTCTGAATTATAGAAATGGGACTTTCTTTTTTTTTTTTTTCTTTTAAGTAATACTCAAACTGAAATACTACAGGCAACAGAATTTGTTCTAGCATTTATAGAAATATGGGAATATCATTTCTTCCCCTATGAATTCCTTCACAGAAAAGACACTGCCTGATAATTCCAGCAGCTGGGGTTTATCTCTGGGTACATCGGACCTTAGCAATATAATGTAATCATGTCTTGTCACCTCATCCTGGGAAATCTTGGCAAAAACATTCATCAAGTGACTCACTGAACTTTGAAGAAGATGTTTATGCCTCCACCTGACACTGTCTCGTGGGGAGAGGACTTTCCCTGGGAAAACATGACTATAAGCCCCACTTTTGACAGCCATCTCCACTGGTGCCTCTTCCTCTTTCCAGTGCAGAAGGAATCTAGCCAAACAACAAGAATACCCACGATGATAAACACACAGGAAGCACTACTTACGCGCATGTGCATCAGACCCCCCCCCAAAGGCCATGACCTTCAAATGTCTTAGCAACTGAATCTTCAAGCCACCTCACAGAGTTCCCATTTTATGATGATTACACAGAAGCCCAGACAGGTTAACTAATTCTGTTCAGCCAAGATCCCGCGGCTAAAAAGAAGGGGAATGAGTGTCAGACCCCTGCCTCTTTGCCTTCAGACCCTGATCATGGCCTTCAACAGTATCACTGTTGTCAGGGGAAGAAGAGAAAGACAAGTAGGTGAAGGAAGTCAAGGCAGCACTTATTCAAAGCATTCTTCTCAGCTCTGCTATCCCGTGTTCAGCCTCTTTGTATGGAAAAAGAAACCACGGCCAGACAGGTACCGTTGCTCCCAGAGCCTCCCAGTCAGGACCTGGGAAAGCTGGGATTCCCATTTCAGCCAACAACTCCGGCCTCCCACCGCTGTCTTTCCTCTAACAAATATTTACTGCCCATCTATTGTTTCTGCATCCAGCAAAAAGCGACAGGACAGCCCCTGCCTCTGTTCTCCTCCACGACACGTTCCCAAGCGTTCCCCAGTATTTGTGACTCCCAGCTCCATCGCTCTTACCTGCCCTCAGTCCTGTAGAAATGTCCAGATGGACTCCCTTTACCCTCCAGTAAAAGCCAGGGAGACACACAGCAGCGCGCCCCCATAAATCTCATTTGTCCAGTCTCTGCCGGGGTCCCCCATAAACACCGCACCTTGGTGGCTTGGTCCTGTGCTACACAGGTTGCTGCCAGGGATGTTTACCCAGAGTTCTTATTTCATCCTGGTTGTCACTCCCCAGGCTCTCACCTGTTCACATGCAGGTCTGTCTCGCACCAAGGCTCCTGCACACCGGGTTTGGAAAGATAAAACCTGACCCGGCCTCCAGCGAGTGCATTTCTTCCCGAACCTGCCTGTGCCTTTCAATCAATGTTCTCTCTGCAGCAGCGCAGTAAAAAGTGCAAAGTTCCTTTTAGAGGTTATTTCATTTCTCAGACACCATAAGGAAGTAAGTACATAGGTTTTTCCTCCTGAGGAAGACACAGTCTAGAATCATTAATCCTGTAAGCCCTTTTCTGGGAAGGGCTGGCCTAGCAGACACCCCCGCACTGTCCAGGAATGTCCTGAGTATGGCATTAGATGTGCAATTCGACTCCACAATTATGATTATGCGGTAAGTGGCATTTCCTTTGCAGAGATAAAGCACAGGCAGCGTGAAGCCAGCCCACGTTCCAAGCCAGGCCGGCTGGGATTCACATGCTGACTCTAGCATTTTAATTCTTCAACCTCCCTGAGCCTGTTTCCGCCTCTGATCTGCAAAATGGGAGGACTGAACTCTACCTGTCTGAGTGTTGGTGAGGTGACATCCGCTGTCGTTTTGAGAAAGAAAGTACTACCCTAGTGCTCAAATCATTTCCAGCCACCTGGGATCCAGTTTCCAGGGGGAAACCCCACCTGTTGGGATGCCAGGGTTTTCTGTGTAGATAATCCAGGGCTGGGTAAGATTTCTATATATATATTTTTTCAATTGCCAGAACAAGTTCCTTTTTCCCATGGCATCTGAATCTTTGTGGGGCTCATTTAAAGAAAATGAGCTGGAGCAGGCTGGGCTGGGGAGGGCTCCCTCGCCCTGCTCATGCTGCACGGTCCCTCGCTGTGCACTGCACTGGAAAACCGGACACAAAGTAGCAAAGGGAGGCTTCCGTGGAGGTGTAGCTGCAGCCCGCTGTGGGGGATCGGGCAGGGGCCCCGGGTCTCCCCACAGGGTTCACGTTGACTACAGTCTGTTATCCTGCAAGGGGGACCCTCCGGAAGATTATCCAAAGTCTAGGAAAACTATAATTCCATTTTTGTTTTGAGCGTATCCTCAAGGAAATGATTTTTTTTTTTTTTTTCTCTTTGGTACCGGGGATTGAACTTCGGTCCTTGCGCTTGCGCAGCAGGCGACGAAACCACTGAGCTAAATCCCCAGCCAAGGAAATGATTTTCAACTGGAAGGTTCACTGCTTTTTTTCCGGGGACCGTATGCATGAATCAGACCCCCTTAACCTTCCTGCTTCTTGATTCTTTTCAAGATATGCTCTATGGATTTTTTTTCCTAATACATTTATAAGCTACCTAATGATAAACTAAAACTGAAATGCTGGTCGAAGGATTATGCCACATAGCTGGTGAGGAATTTTGAACCGCAGGAACCTCCTACTGATCATTTCTTTCATTTCTAATTTACCTCTTTTGACTATGCATAGCTAAATGTGTACAAGACTAGAACTTATAGCCCTTTTTTGTTTGTTTTGTTTTCTTTTTTTTGTGGTACTGGGGGTTGAACCCAAGCCCCTCAAACTGAGCCTCACCCCAAGCCCTTTTTATTTTTTGTTTTGAGACAGGGTCTTGCTAAGCTTCCCAGGCTAGGCTTGAACACTCCAAAACAGCCCTTCCCAGACCTACTTCAAAAAGCAGCAAGAACGACAGGCTAAGTGTGTTCAAAGCCAGGGTAGGAATGTGAGGGGGCTGAATGGCTGTCTTTTACTGTAATACATTTTTAATTTTAAAATATTTTTATCACATCTCATGCACGAAACTCTAAACAGCGATGACCAACAGGTGATGGGGTAGCAGAGTTTTTCACCCATGCAAGTACATGTATAAATAAACGCTAAGAATAAACTGTGTATGTATGATGTTTGCGATTGGATAAAATAGTAGGAAAGGTAAATGGAGAAGCTCTGTGTCCGAGGTCACTGGACGCATGAGCAAGAGTGGGAGCTTTCTGAAAGCTACCTGTGCTGGGGCCCCAGACATAGAAGCAGGGACCCCACATAGTGGCTGGTAAGGACACCGGGGTGCAGAACGGGGGCCACAAATTAGGACGGTCAAGGAAGTAGAAACAATTGGACAGAGGTAAGAGAAGAAAGGACAGCTCTGTGTTCCTGGGCAGTTATTAGTTTCCCTGACCTGCCTCAGTTTCCTCAGCTGTAACATGGAGATAATTATATTAAAAATGACCATTTATCATTACACTGTTCCTTTCACTATGTATGTGTTGATGGTATTGAATCTTCATAGCAGCCCTGTGAGTTAGAGGACGCTATTAACAATCACACCAGTTTACAGATGAGGCATGTGAAGAACAGAGAGGTCAAGCAACTTGGCCCAAGGTCACACAGCTAGAAAGTGACCAAAGCAGGATTTGAACCCAGGCAATCCGACTCTGGAGCCCAAGTGCTAGAGATCCTGAACCTCGGGGCTCGGCACTATGCCTGGCACGCAGAACAGATGTTAATGAGGATGGTTATATTAAAAGGCGAGGCTCCCTCCCCAGCCCGGCAGCATGGCGCCCTTCCCATTCTGTGCCAGCTTTGCTGTCCCCAGAAACTGCCCGGGCAGAGGTAAAGGCAGCACTCACCCTACCAAGAAGCTGGCAGCTGGGGAGGCCTGGAAGAGACAGGCGGCGCAGGGAGGCCTGGGGGAGGCGCCCTACTTAACCCTCCCTGAAGGGCTTCCCCGCAGGGCTGCAGCCCCAGAGCCTTTCAATTGCTGTGGGCCAATGACTTGCGGCGTCTGAGCTGCAGTCTCCTGATGGATGAAGTGGGACAAGAGACCCGCGTGTAGCGGATTATCCCACGGGAAATAACCTGTAACCTTTAGGAAGCGCTGCCCGCGTCCCCTGCACACGGAAAGCTCAGTGCCAACCCTAAGAGGGAGGGAGGTCCTATTCAACTCCTCTTTGCAGAGCTGAAAACTGGAGGCTAGAGAGGGAAGCTTGCTCAGAGGTGCACAGCAAATAAAGTAATTCCAAAGCCTGCTCTGGCTCACCTCGCCTGGCTCATAAAAAACTTACCGGGTCGGCAAGGTCGAGGTCCAATAAGCGCCGGGTTAATAATGCTTGCAGCTGTTCTTCCTGCAGCTAGGAGCCGGCTTCCCGCCGAGGCCGGCCCTGCACGACCTTCCGGAGCCTCCCTAAGGCGCCGGACCTGGCCACTACCTCCTCCGCAGCCCCTCGGCCCTGAGCCCTTCTAGGCGGAAGAGCCCGCGTCCCGCAGGTGGCGCGCTGGCTCCGAGCCGATCCCGCCCACCGCCTCCCCTCCTCGCCTGGCCAGAGCGGCCACAGGCCAGACGCGCTGCGCGCCCAAAACGCTGCACCAGCCACACCAAAAGAGAACCAAAGAGAAATAGCTTATGATTATCACTAGTCTAAACCTCAGAGTGCATGACGGTGCAGGCCTGCAATCCCAGCCCTCTCAGAGGCTGAGGCAGGAGGATTGCAAACTCCAGCCCAGCCTGGGCATTTAGGGCTGAGGACGTGTGAAGGCTCTCAGTGTGAAGGCCCTGGGTTCAATTCTCAGTGTGGGCACGCGCGCGCGCACACACCCACACACACACACACCCCCACAATTTGAAAGCGTCTATTACCTGCCTACTATCAAAAGAACAGAAAATAAGTGGAGGCGGGTACACTGTGCACTGCCTTAGGGATGTAAAAGTGGGGTGACCACTGTGGAAAACAGGGAGGTGCTTGGAAAAATTAAAAATAGAACCCCGATACAAACCACTATCCTGCTCCTGGGTATACACCCCCAAATTCAAAGCAGAATCTCAAAATGATATTTGCACACCCGTGTTCTTTGTGACGTTATTCACAGTGACCAAGAGTTGTAAGCAGCCCAATGCCCACTCACAGACACACAAAAGAAAATGTGGTTTGCTCTTGCAGTGGCATAGGATGCAGTCTTTAAAAGGCAGGAAAGATTTCAGTTGCTGGGACAGATGATCCTCAAGGACACCACAGGATTGAAATAACCCAGGCACGAAAGGGCAGGTAAGGTATGATTCTACTCATACAAAGTACTAAAGCAGTCACAATTCACAGAAAGATGCAAGAGGGCACACGAATGTAATCCCACCTACTGGGGAGGCTGAGGCAGGAGGATCACAAATTCAAGGCCAGTCTGGGCAACCTAGTGAGACTCTGTCTCAAGATAAAAATAAAACCATGGAAAGAGAAAATGAAAAGATGACTGGAGGCTGGGACTGGTGACACACAACTATAATCCCAGCACTCGGGAGGCTGAGGCAGGAGGATTGCCATGAGTTTGAGCCCAGCCTGGCCTACGCAGTGAGTTCAAGGCCAGCCTGAGTTATAGAGCCAGACCCTCTCTCAAAAAACAAAGCAAAACAAAAAACGAAAGATGTCTGCCAAAAGCTTAGGGGAGGGAAGGAGAGAGGTGAATGTTGACCATCCAGATACAGAATTCTAGACATTTGCTGCATAACAATGTGACTATGCTTCCCATTGCTCACCTGTACCCTTAAAAATGATTGAACAGTGAATGTAATGTTTTACAGCAATTTAAAAAAGTACGCAGTGACAGGGCTGAGATGTAGCTCCATGGTACAGCATGAGGCCCTGGGTTCCAACCCTTACATGAAAAAAATAGTACACAAATATAAATGTAATCGTAATTTTTGTAGCCAAGGAGGAATATGTGGTGCCATAGGAATTTATCATAGAGAGGATTTTCTGGATTTCAGAGAAGTGTTCTCCAAGGCAACAAGGCTTCAGCAAACATCCGTGGGGAGGAAAGTGGTCATGCAAAGGCCCTGGGGCAGCAGGTCACATGGCAAGTCTGAATTCATTCTATAGAATACACTTTTCTCCCTAGCTGAACTTTCCTGTTTTGTGAGTGGAACTGATAAAATGATGACAATAGCAGTCACGATATACTGTAAAGTATATTCAAGCAGTGAATTACTTCATTAACACAGTGGTGAAGTACAGTCTGAAGCCAGACTACTCAGGTTCCTATTCCAGTGCTAGGTCCTTCGTTGCTTCATAATCTTGGGTAAATCGATCTCTGTGCCTCCGTTTCTTTATCTGAACAATGGAGACAACACTAGGCCCTCTCTACTGGGTGTGGTGAGGCTCTAATGAGTCCCGCATACAGTACCTGCCATGCCACCAGGCCTACAAAAGCACTTGCTCAATAAAATCAGATCTAATCACAAACTAATAACTGTAGTGCCACTGTCCATGCTGCGATGTATTGCAGAAAGGCCCCAGCTTCCTCCCAGCCCTGCAGGCAAGCGGACCCTTTGCAGTGTGACCCTATCGCT